CTTTAGTACATTGCTTATTTAAATATTTTCTAAAACATCAGAATAAATATGGCCCATTTTAGATGACTTAATCTCACTTACACAATATAAAATAAAGCAAAGAGATTTACAATGTGAAGCTTATTTTAATGATGATATTATGTAAATGTGGCACAATGTGCGCATTTTAAAGATTTTATTATGTAATATTAAAACATTTTATTTCTAACTTTTAGTGTTTTAGACAAATCAGTAATTTTATTACAGTTCTGTGCAGAACGTGGTTGAAAAATGGATCTTTGATGCTATAAAATGTATAAAATTAATATGTCCTTTGACAAAAAACACAATATTCATTTTATCTAACCTGACTGTATCTTTGATGCCAAAAATGTCAAAGGACCTAAAAGAAGCATTCAGTTTTTCTTCTGTGTGTTGCATGAAATCAGTGCAAAAAGTGAAAACACCATAAACTTAATCATGTTTAAAAAAAATCAGTAATGGAACACTTACGTTTTATTTCCTCGCTGACAAAACAGAATCAATCAGCTTGACTGTGTTTGCTTAATAATGACTGACAAATGAGCTTCACTCGGGGCCACTGGTGATGCCAGTGACCACAGCAGGACTAAAGCAGCTGACGTTGATGGATGGAGCGAGCTCGTTGCTGCTCGCCCGGCAGCAGCAGCAGCAGTGTAAAGTTAGTCTAACCTCACTGTGTGACCAGTGTGACCTGACAGCTTGTTTCTGCATCAGCCCCCTGTTCTCAACAACCAGGTTCTGCTCAGAGAGCTGCGTCTGGACGACAACAGCATCTCCTCCCTGCAAGGACTCTCTGGCTGCTGGCTGCCTCTCCTGCAACACGTCTCTGTGGCTCAAAACAGGTACAGCCTTCTCCTCCGGTCCTAATGCACACTTGTGTTTGAGTCAATTATTTTACCAGATATAAAAGAGAAAACATGCTACAATTTATTTTTAATAAACTTTGATACTACTCATCATCATGTTTGTGAAACATCAATTGATTTTCGTAAAGCGTTTGACACAGTTGATCATTATACTCTCTTACAAAAGTTGATATCTTTTCAACTTTCATCATCTGCAATACAAATGTTTTCCTCTTTGACTGATAGGTGTCAGGTTGTGAAACATGAAAGCTCTGTGTCCGGGTCTCTGCCCTGTTCCGTGGGAGTTCCGCAGGGTAGCATACTGGGCCCATTGCTTTTCTTATTATACATAAATGACCTTCCAAAAATATTGAAGTATTCAAATATTTTAATGTATGCTGATGATACTGTTCTTTTTTGTCTGATTTCAATATTGAATCTATTAATAGTCAGTTACAAGCAGATCTTCAGACATTTCATGGTTGGCTTCAAGATAATCTTTTGTCAATTAATGTTAAAAAAACTGTGTGCATGTATTTTTCCGCACCCAAGAGACATTTCAATATAACAAATCAACTCACTTTTTTAAACAAACCCCTTGATATTGTCACTACCTACAAATATCTTGGAATTACTTTGGATTCTCATTTGACTTATCGTGATCATGTACAAGTCTTAACCACTAAGTTGAAACAGAAATTATACGTTTATTCAAAAATTAGATCCAATCTGACATCTTCTGTTTCAAATATCTATCTTCATGCCATTATACTCTCAACCATGTCRTACTGTTTACCTGTTTGGTCTCTTACAACAAATGAAATCTTAGAACCCATAGTTAGGCTCTACAACAGGGCCTMCAAGATTCATAAAAAACTTCCTGGTTGGACTCATCACTGTACAGTTCTTTCATTGTCTGATGCCTTGACTTTTCAGAATTATGTTTTGTATAGTGGTATTAATTTATATTTTCAGATCTTCCAAGGTGCCAATTATGGAACTCTCTGTGCATTGTTGCCCAAATCAAATTCTGAAAGTGGTCATTCAATCTGTTACAAAAGGACAACTGATATTACCAACTTTTAAAAACTGTTACGGCCAGAGGTCTTTCTTCTATGTTTATACTAAAGCATGGAATGACATTCCTCAAAACATAAAGTCCATTTCAAAACTACAGCCCTTTAAGAAGAATCTTGTCTGCCATCTGCTGGACACTTTTTCTTGTGCTCATATTTAGACATCCTATTTTGCAAATGCTGCCTTCCTGAAATTTGTTGTGCTTGTTTGTCTTTGTGTCTATGGTGTATAATGATGTGATTGTGATGCTGTATTTCTGAGTGTTTTATGTGCTGCAGAAAAAGAACCTGCTATGCTGAGTCAGGCTTGATTTTTAATAATCTTTTCCAGTTAAATCAATAAATCAAATCAAATCAATCAAAAGTGCATATTTAAAAAATTAGTCTGTGTTTTGTTCTGGTATACATGTAGAGTTGTCTTTTTTTGTTTTGTTTTCAAGAATAACTCAGCTGCCCTCCATGATGGATTTAGTTTCCCTTGAAAATCTGGATCTTCGGTTCAACTGTCTGTCAGGTAAAACGTTAAAGCTGTGTCAGCATAAACTGTCTAATATGTACAAAATATAAAAATTGTATTTTTTAAATTGGGCTGTAGATATAAAAAAAGACTCAAGCACTCCCACAACCAGCACTCACAACTAGTACATCCTCTTTATTAGTGACCCATCATATCGAAATGAAGATTAAGTCAAATTTGGTCAAAATGACCTAATTACATTTTCAGATTTGTGGGTTTAAAAGCTACATTTTGATACCTGGATCATTCTGATATCATAAGCTTATCCAGAGATATGACTTCATTTTTCTTGAAGGTTACGTTACTACATGACTGTTTTGTCTAAATCCTAATTTCATATAAATGTATTGAGTAATTTTTAAAAATCAGTATAAAGAGGAAACCTCAGTTAAGATTTCCCATTTGAGAAGAAACAAAATCCTTGCTAGCTTACAGAGAAAAAATCCAAATTTTAATGCTGATGCACAGCATACCATATTAACCATTTGAAATCCCCAATGAAGACTCGTGAAAATACTTGTTTCACCAAAACAGTTTGGACTTGAAGATATTGGCAGAACACCTTTCAGAGTTGTGGGCGGAGCCTCTGAGTGGCTGGACTTGCTACTAACAGATGTTTGATCCAAGAGGTCTGCTGTCAGACCCGGTCTAATTTGAGCCTGTCTTTAAAGTTTAGTGGTTTAGCGTTAGGTGCTGACCTGAGGAATTAGTCATTAAATTAAGGGCTGAAATGTAAAGTTTCAGCTGAAGTCTGTTCTTTTTTAAACATTTGGTCAACCACCAGAAAGAAAATGAAACCAAATGTGGGTGTGGGTTGAATTTGTGTTGAACGTTTACAATTTTGAATGCGCTTTTAGGTTTAATGTTGAATTTACAGTTTAAATCAAATCAAATTACTGTATGAAGCCAAAAAAATTTTAATAAAAAAATCAATGTCTGTTGCTGCCTTCAAAGATAGTGACAAGTTGCTCCTATTTTTGTGCACATCTTAGAAACACAGGAGAAATCTTTTCACTATTAGCCACTGAACAGTAATCTAAATGCAACTGATTTACTGAAACACATAATGACAAAAGTAATCAGAAGCAGTGTATTTACTCAAATGTTTTAACTTATGACAAATGGACCAGCTGTAATGAAGGTAAGTTTCTTCAGCTCATTGGTCTCAAAGCATCTTCTAGATCAGTGGTTCCCAAACTTTTTATCTTCTGACCCACAAAATATTCATGGCAAAAACTTGTGACCCCAAATATTACTGGTCTGAGTACACAAACTTTGTTAATAACCATAAAAACACAGGCTTTTTGACAATCTAAACTCCTTGTACACAAATATAAATACTTATTTATACTTATTTTGTGTTTTTGTAATAGTTATAGGGAAAATATTACATCAACAATTATTTTGTTACCCTTTAAATTGATTTCTGGAGATTATCCAAGGTGCTTCATGACCCATAATTGGGTCCCAAGTCCAACTTTGGGAACCAAAGTGCAGTGGTTCCCAAACTTTTCAGCTTTTGACCCACAAAATAACAGTAGCAGAGACCTGTGCTCCCAGCTATTTTTGGATGATAAACATTTGTATCAGGTCAACAAAACATGGGCATAGTAACAATATTTGTATACTACAATTATCCATTTTAAATATACTAACCTCACTCCTTTCTAACAACTAAGGCAAAAATGTAATTAATTCAGAAAATCTTTTCAGGACTCCACCTTGATGTTTCAGGACCCCACTTTGGGTCCCGACCCCAACTTTGGGAAATACTGTTCTAGATTATGCTACAGACTCAGAAGAAAAAAAAAGCTTCTTAAAGAGATAGTTTGGATCTTTTGAAGAAGGGTGTTTGTGGAAAAATGATTAACAGTTAATATTATCTGCTTTAGATAAGTCATTGAAAAACCTCAGTTTGGAAAATGGTTAATGGACTGAACTTATATAGCACTTTATCAAGCCCCATGGGGACCCCTAAGTGCTTTACACTACAGTCATTCACACCCTGATGGTGGTAAGCTACAATGTAGCCACAGCTGCCCTGGGGCACACTGATAGAGGTGGGGCTGCCATGCACGGGGCCACCATCAGTAGGCAAGGTGGGCGAAGTGTCTTTCCTAAGGACACAACGACTGAGACTGCTGGAACAGGGTATCGAACCGGCAACCGGAGGACAACTCCCCTAACCACTCTGCCACAGCCATAAAAAAACAACAACAACAACAACAACAACAACAACAACAGAAAAACAGAGCTTATCTTGATCAACAAACTAACAGCTGGTAGACGACGGTGAAACGATCCAAACTGCTCCCTTAAAATAAGTCCATCTCAAAAGTTTTCTGAATGTTCATGCAAATGTTGTCCTAATAACCTTTATGCCACCTTTGATTTCACATTATACCAATATTTAAATAGAATTCTGTGGTTATTTCTAGGTCCCTTCTAGGAAAATCATACTTCTGCCAAAGTAACTGTGTAATAAGATGGCAGTCTTATGGTTTAAAAAAAAAGAGTATATATTCACATAAAAACCTATTGAAGTTAAGAGAGCAGCACTTTGCTCTTTTACCCCTTGGACTAGTTATTATGTTGTAGTCTGGTCAGAATTAAACTCAAAGTTTCTAAACTAAGATCATTCAAAGAGCTTCTTAAACATGTCCTTTGTTTTAGAGACCCCATTTCATAACTTTTTAAATCACTAAGTTCACAGGTTTGCAGAACAAATGTTTAAATCTATCATTCAGTTCCTGTATTTTTCATATTACCAAATAAACTATTTTTTTCTTGTTTCTTTGTTAGAGCTGCACAATGTGTGTGAAAATCTGAAGAGATGTTGTTTCCTTCGAGAAGTCCACTTGTCCGGGAATCCCCTTCAACAGGAGAGTGGCTGGAGGTAGGACAGGGCTGACTGCTGTCCATCAGCAGGTTGTGTCAGCGTTTAGCACACTCCAAGCTGTGCTTCAACTAGTTTGGAATCAGCACAGCAGTGCAAGATGTCTGTTCTATCCTTCTATACTGCTTCAAGTTAAAAAAATTACACAGTTCTTTCATTAAATAATTTCCTTTCCATGGGAAAGCCACTCGGACTAATGTTCAAAGGAACATACCAGTGAAAATCCCATATTTATCTAAGACAACACCGTCTATTAGCTCAGGTCATCTAAACATTCCAGACCAACACGAGTTTCCCTGTCCACTTCCCAGGATTACCACGGTGATCCACAGTCCCTATTAGATTACTGTGGGGTCCCTCTGACATTTGTGGGCTGTATACAACCGCGCTGAGTGCTTATGAAGGCCAAATTACCAAGAAAACAGATCATTATTTTTTCTTGTCACTTTGTTCCTTCATTTGCATTTCTTAAATATGATGTAAAGACATTTTTGTAGTTTAAAAATATGATCCTGTTTTACCTGCTTCTTTTGAGTCTGATAAGCGACGATGTAATCTCTTAGATTAATAAAATCTTATTTCAAATCTGTTCATTAGGCATTCAAATTTATAAACATGGAACATCCAATAAGACTGATATTTGCTTAGAATCCATCCATTATCTTTTACCCACTTCTTCCATTCAGGGTCATGGGGGTCATTGGTGCCCATATCCAGCAGTCACTGTGTGAGGGGCGGGGAACACCCTGGACAGGAGACAAGTCCATCACAGTAGAGACACACAACCGTCCACACTATCACCTAAGGACTATTTAGAGTTAACAATTAACCTTACAGTCATGTTTTTGGTCTGTGGGAGAAAACCCACACATGCACGGAGAGAGCATGCAAACTCTACTCAAAAAGGTCCCCAGCTGGGATTTGAACCGGCAACCTTTTTGCTGAGAGACACCAACTTTTCTGTCATGCTGTTTCTGCGTTGTTACTTGTAGCTAATTCATAAAAAGGAAATGCCAGATATTTGTTTATTTCTTCTGTGCTACTGTTTCCTGGCTTTTCTAATGTTAAATTTATTTATTTTTTAAAATTATTTTTAATGAGTGACTCTCAGTCCAGAGTAATCCTAAATTCTGCTTCATTTGCACCTCTTTTCTACAGTCAGATGGAGATTTTGGTGAGAAAAAACAAGATGGTCAAAATATTTTTCAAAGTAGAGTTTGTAAAAGACTCTTGCAAATCTACGTATGGACAGAACAAATGTAGCTTTTCAGAAGCAGTGACGTAGCAGTCTGTTTTATGCACTAAAAACCAAACAAAATTTAAGCTGTTTTTACCAGTTTTACTGTGTGTCTGCCTCACTTCAGCCTGATTTGGTCACCAATAAATATTGCTTGTTGGCTGCAATAATTAACAACTGAAAAAAGATTGTAAACAATAGCAAAGACACAAATGAGATGGACCAACACTGCACTTTTATCATTAAAAAGCTAGGGTTGCTATTGAAACGCCATTGGAAATGCACAAATTCAAGAGGTAAATTTACGCCGCCATGTATGTGCCTGATGTGTTTGCTCTAAACTGATTTGTGTTGATCTTTCCTTTAGAATCGTAGATAAAATTTTTCATAAATATCTAAGCTACAAATCTGCTTTTTGAGCTTGCTTTCAAACGCAACCTCAGTGTTTACCCAGTTGACCTGTGACCTAGTAGAGCTAGGCTTCGCTATGCGCATGTGCTCAAAAAACAACTATGAAATGGTCTATTATTTTGGGTAACTCTTTAGTCAAGCTATTGTTCCTTTTCATTTTAATGTGTGGTTAATGTGGCCACCTAGTAGAGCGGAATGGCTGTTTTATTATTTTTGTCAAAATTGTCAAAATAAAAAAAATGTAAAAATTTTTTTGCAATCCTGAATTGTGAAGAGCTTTTCTAAAAAGTTGGAAAAAGCGTTTGTAATAGTTTTCTCTCTAAAAAAAGGCAAAAATATCTCCTATATAACAAATATCCAATTCATGCTTCAGTCGACAGATCAGGCAATCTTCTGACGAAGACACTTCATTCTTCATCTCATCCAGAACTTACTGAAATATTCTAGACATAGGACTTTACGATTTGTGTGAGTAGAGTGTGTTTCTAAATCAAATTATGCTCCCCACCTCAATGAGGTCATGCACCAACCAGAAGGTCCTGTTTTGGTTTGGAGCTTCATTTGAAGACAGCGGGCCAGACGACATGCCCACAGGGCTGGAATTTAATCCTCATCTTTGTTAGAAAGACCAGTGGAGCACATGTAAACTAGATCCCTCTGACAGTTCACAGACCCTCTCCGCTGCAGTCGTGGCTTTTTCTTAGGGTGGCGATGATGTGCATTCTATCTGTACATAATACGAACCATTTATACATTACATCGTGATCTTAAAATCTCAGCACAGATCCTAGTCCATGCCTGAAGGGCACAAATTCAACCAATCCTGAAACTGTTTTGATTATTTTTCTGTTATATAGATGTACATTTTTCTACTTCAACATTGGATAGAGGATTTTCATAATACATGGGGAAAAAAAACACCCAACATTATTTCAAATAGCTCAGCAAAATGGTTTTATAAAACTAGAACATTTTATTAAACAATGATGGACAATAAGTCAAACTATTTAAAGGGATCCCGGATTAGTTGTAACATCAGACTTTATTTGATAAACATATATTTTAACTTTAAAATAAAAACTGTAAAATACTGTAGGCTGTTTAGTTTTTATCATTTTTAAACTAAAAGTTTAAAAATATATTACATGGACGGGGTCATTTTATTTC